GGCACTTGACTTCTATTTGCCTCTGTTTTCTCAACTGTAAAATAGAGATAATGATAGCACCTGCTTTGCAGGATTGTTGTGAGAATCCAATGAAATAATATTTGTAAAGCACTCAGCACAATGCCTGACTGTGCTATAGAAATGCTAGCTGTTTTATTATCAATAAGCATTTATCAGGAGCTTACTATGGCATAGGTAAACATAGAATGCCCTTTCCGGGGATGAGATGTCAGTAGGGAAAGCTAAAACTTCTCCAGAGGCATTTGAGAGGCAGTTGGTATAAGGGAAATAACTTGGACTGAATTATTGTTTAGATTTATTTATGCCTTTTGTTTTCACAGCCCAGTCATTTCCTGATACGTGCCCATACAACGCTCACCCTTCCTTTGGAAGAAAGAAAAACAGTCATGCAAAAATGACATCATCAGCCACATTCCACACCCATGTTTTCCCATCTCTCTACCCAGAAGAAGGTTTTTGTTTTATCGGCTGTTCTCTGAGAGCAAGACTGGCCATTATAACTGACCAGAGTTCAGTTTCTTTTTAGCGTTATTTTAATTTACGTTGCTATAAGCTGGGTATACTGATCTCCTGATTTGGCTTGATTCACTCTGCATAAGCTCATATAGATCCTCCTGCGCTTCTCTGAATTTCTCTGGCACATTTGTCTTCCATTGTGTTCATGTATCACAATTGGCTCAGCTCTCTTCCTATTAGTGGATAGCCGTGTGGTTTCTAGCATTTTTCTTGCTACCACAAAAAGTGTGGACCTTAGCTTTAGATAAAGGCAGAGGATGTAGATGTATGAATCCCAGTCCTGTCGCTTACCACTTTCACAACCTTGGGATGTTCCCTTTACCGTGCCGGGCCTCAGTTTCTCCATCTGTAAAATGAGAAGAGTCACACTCTATCACATCTAACGGCCCCTTCCAACCCTAACCCTACGAACTATCCAAGGGACAGATTGAGCTGCCCATTCCACAGTTCTTAGACACGGATCTCTCGCTCAACAACTTTGTAAATCAAGCCTAAAAATTAAAGACTGTACCTTATTTCTTCTAAGCTAGAGCCTCTTTTCCCCAACAAAGGGAGAACATCAGCTTCATTTTGAAGAATGCGATATTTACAGTTCTACTGCGATCGTCATTTAGTCTCCGTTTGGCGTTCAGCTCAACAAATTAAGTGGCATTTAGAAAAATATGAAATAAAGCCAAGTAAGTACAGGAGCAGCTAGGTGGCTCTGTAGAGAGAGCACTGGCCTTAAGTCAGGAAGATCTGAGTTCAAATCCGGCCTCAGATACTTACAAGCTGTATGATACTGGTGAAGTCACTTAACATCCGTTTGTCTTAATCCAGTGGAAAAGGAAATGGCAAACCACTCCAGTATCCCTGCCAAGAAAGCCCCATGGACAGTAGGGGGCGTGGGCTCATGAAGAGTTGGATGTTACTGAATAACAGTGTATATCTATTTTGGCAGGGGCATTTAAAAAAATAACTCACCCCCATTTTTATAACAGTAGGAACATTAGAGTAGAAAGTAACGGACTCACATTGGTCGATTTACTAAGACTCACATCTTCCAATTTATTAAGCACTTTGGTTTACAAGATGTCTGATCAAAAAATCCTCATGAAGCAATCAGGGCAAAGTATAATCCTCATTTAACAGATGAGAAGATTGAAACACAGTGGTTTCAGGAGCTTGCCCCAAATCACATGGTTACCAGATGGCTCAGCCAACGCTAGGACTTGGCTAGATGAAGTTCCAAGGACTTGCTCTAAATCACACGAGTACTAAATTGCCTTAGTTGGGCCTTTCTACTGTACCAGAATGCCTTATTCCTATCTTGGATTTCCAATCATCTTATACTTCCTTCACTTTTCTTAACATTTAAATTCCCTTCCTCCTTTCCTTCCTCCCTCTGTGATGGTGATTACAACTCGAATTTTGGAGTGAGGCTGGAGTGACATTAGTTATAATAAGTGAGCAAAGAGATTTCGTCCCAGGGCATTGACGTAGAGGAAGGCTTTCCTCCTTGGGATGAAATGGTTCCTCTTTTTGGTGACTACCATTCCTGCAGGAATTAAATGGACTTAGTCCTTGGCACATCTACTCTACTGTGCCCTTCATACAATACAAAAATATCATAGAAAATTGGATGCCACAAGTCAAATAGCTGTTTGACACAGCCTTGTTGGCCAAATTATTTGGCTATATGCCTAGAATGCCCTGGAGGATGGCTCCCCTCTGCCAAGAATAAACCTGTGTCACTGTTCTCATTCCTCTCTATCTCTTCCTGCACTGTTTCTTCAACTATCCCTCCCTGCCTGTTATCTTCAGTCTCTCCTCTATTAGCTCTTCTACACCATCTTCAAGTAAGTATATTTCCTGTGCTTTGAAAAAGAAAAAAACCCTATAGTTTAAGACTTCTGCCCTCCTATTTCTTTCCTGGGTCAGAGGGACCTTTGTGTGTCGTTCCCCAACACCCCCACACGCACAAGGAGAAAGCCCTGGCCTCAGATGATAGGTCCAGTAGATGGCAGCAACGGCATGGAGAAACAGCAGCAAATGTTAGGGGAGAGGGGGGGGGAAGCGGCGCAGAGAAGCACAGTTATAGAGGCTGAGTTCAGGGTCCATGGAAGCTCTGAGATCATCTTGAGAGAGCTGTGAGGGGTGCATGTGAGAAGCTTCAAGGCACAGCGTGTTGCCAATATGTAAGGAGGTGTTCTAGCCACGATGTGACCCTTCCTCACGTAATTATAAAAATTTCCTGGAAAATGTTCCCACTCCCACTTAGCCTGTGAGTCTGTAGAAGGTTGTACTCCATATATGGGAGGGCAAAAAATGATTCTACTACTTGGCTTTCCTTTGCTATGTACTTGGATATTTTGTCCTAATTAAATGTTTCACTATTTGATTTATTATTCTTGCTGGTCTGTGGAGGAGGAATGTACTGGGGGCTTGAGCCATTTTTGCATAACAATGATTACCTTCCCTCCCCCCTTCCCCCATGATCCCATAGTGAACAGGGAGTAGCAAAGAGTTTCAGAATCCCATGAGATCAGACTTCACCTCAGCTGGCTGAACAATCATGTCCCCCTCTCTGGCATACTTTAAGAATTCCCTTTTATCTGCAGTGGTGACAGGACTCATATTCTTCATTCTGATTTATCTGTATTATAATTATCTGGTTGTGTGATTAATGGTCCCTGGTAAATTGTAAATCATCAGGCCTTTTGGGGTCAAAGAACACCTCTTAAGCACTGCCTACGGTAGGTGCTTAATAAATGTTTATTGAATGAATAAAGGAATTACTTAATTCTCTCTGGGTGAGGGGAACTAGTTGAATTGGGGACAAACAAAGCCTTCCACTCCCCCAGTACCTCTGCTAGGGAAATACTGAGCTGTTTGAGAAGAGGTGAGCTGCGTGATACTTTGTTAATGCTTACATCCCTCTGTTCATGTCTTTGCGGACACAGATGGGTTTGGGGATTAGAAAGTAGGTTCTTTTCCAGATTATTTTAAAGGATCTTTTTATGGGAGGGCATTGTGGGAGATGCCCACAAGATATTTGCCTAGTTTTCCTTTAATGGCCTGAGGTTTTTGTGGTGAAGCATTTGAACTCCACAGTGTCTGTTATTTTGTCTCAGTTTATTACAAGGTGGTCACTAATCACTACAACCTACCTTCCATCTCAAGAGAAAGCCTACACCCTTTAGGAATAATCTTTGGGAATAATCTTTGTTAGTTATTCAACTACTGGATCATCATTTGTACACAGTGTTCAAACTGGTTTAATAGGAAAGCACAGCACGTTATGTTTCTTTATTAACCACGTTACATCGTAATAGCTACCCACAGACAATGGTGTCAATTCCTTCAACATTAACTAACTCAAAAAGGGAGGGAAAGTGGTTAGAGCCCTAACTTAGCCTCAGAAGGCCATTGTGTCCAGCCCCAACGCTGATGATTGGGGAATCAGTAACAAGTCATTCATCTTCCAGCCCTTTTTGGGGGGAGATTTTTAAATAAATGGAGACACATAGCCACCATTTTGTTCCCTACTGTGTGGTGGTGGAAAAAGTAGTGGGCTAAGGGACCTGAGCTCTGTCATTGCCTATCTCTGAAGCCACTCGCTTTGATTCTTTGGACTTCGGTTCCCTCAGCTGTAAAATGAGGGGTTTTTTGGGGGGAGGTGGGACACATGTAATATTTGTATTTTTGTTTTTCTTTTCTTTTCTGGGAGAGGATGGGAAAGAGGAGATACATGCTTGTTAGTTGAAAAGAAATTAATTTAAAAATAAAGCAAAATGAGGGGATTTATGTAGATGATCATTAAGATCCCATTTTTATAAGAGTTATTTGTATTTTCATGTCATATAGTTATTTGAACACATCTTGTACTTATTCCCCTCCTGTAGTATGAGCTCTTTGAGGGCACCAGCTATATCTTATTTATTCTGTTTATCTCCCCTAGTCTAAAATAAATTACTCTGCATAGAGGTTTAACAAGTATTTGTTGAAGTTCCCTAAAAATCTATGATTCTATTATCTGTGGGGATCATAAGCATATAGAATAGATGGGAGAATACTGTCCTTGAAGTCAGAAGGATCTGGGTTCAAATCCTCCCTCTGCTGCTTGCTAGCTGTGTGACCATGGACAAATCACTTACTTTCTCTGTTTCCTCATCTATACAATGCAGATAATAGTTGTAGTAGTTATTATCTTGCAAGGTCCTAAGGATCAGATGAAATAATATATGTATAACAGCATATAAACGTCAGTTATTATTACAATGAAAGGCCTTTAAGTTGTTGAAGGTTTCCTTGGTTTTGTTTTTTTGTCCAGGTCCTATAAAGCAAGTCTGCTAATGCCTGAGCTTAAATGACAAATGAAGGGGAATATACTCCTATATAACAGCAGTGAGGCTTCCGGTGAGCACCTGGTGCTTTCTGGGATTTTAGGTAACATATGTCCAGAAAGGCTTGACACCAAAGCATTCAATCAATGAGCATTTATTAAGTGCTATGTGACAGGCAACTATGCTAAGCATAGGAAGGGTCTGGTCTAGGAGTAAATTGACTTCAGAAAAAATGACTTGCTTTGTCCCCTGCAATGATTTAATTACCAAATTGTCTGGATTTTTTTTTTCCTTTCTTTTTTCCTGGTCTCTGCCTAGTCAGTGTTATTCCAACACAAAAGCATCTGTGATGTGGGATTTGTTGGCTGAGTAATCAGCACACTCTTTTTTTTTTTTTTTATCAAGAACAGCCTCTGGGACCTTATCTTCTGGCTCCAGCTTTTCATTGCTTGGTCAGTGCCTTCTAGTTTGTTTTCTTTGTCTTTAGCAAGAAGAAAATGGGAGAAATTCAATAAGACAGGCTCCTCTTCTCCATCCCCTCCTCCTCCACCTGCCACAAGGAAAACAATACTGAGAACTCATAATTTTAACTTAAAATGTTACCTCTTTTGGACCCCCAGTTTCTTATGTTCACTCTCCTTCTTTGATAATCATTTTAACCAAACACTTGAGAACTAGTAACTATATTTCAATATATTTGGTTTCCTTTGTAATTCCATATATTATGTTTTATACATTTAAAAATACTATTCTGAGAAGAGGCCCATAGGCTTTATCAGACTGCCGAACGGGTCCAGTCATCAGTCAGCCAATTTGTTATGTGTCTGACATTGTGCCACAGTGCTACACTGGGAATACAAAGAAAGGCAAGAACAGCCCCTACCCTCAAGGAGCTCCCATTCTAATGGGGGGAGACAACATGCAAATAAGTATGTATGCACTAGATATACAGGGGGTAGACAGAAGGGAATCTCAGAGGGAAAGTATTAGCATTAAGGGGAACCTCGAAAGGTGGGATTTAAGCTGAGACTTAAGGGAATCCTGGGAAGCAACTGAGGAGAGAGAGTACTCAGAACGGGAAGCCAGCTTACAAGAAATGCCGAGAGTTAGGAGATGGTTAGTCTTGTGCCAGGAGGATGGTGTAACTGGATTGCAGAGTACCTGGAGGGAAGTAAAATGGGGGATAATTTTAAAGGTAGGAAGAGGCTAGACTAGGGCATAAACCGAGGAGTGTTTGATATTTGATGTTTGATCCTGGAGGCAATAAGAGCCCCTGGAGTTTAGAGTAGAGGAGTGACATGGTCAGAGCCATGTTTTAGAAAGATGGTTTCAGTAGCAGAGTGGAAGACACACTGGAGTAGGGGATGAACTAAATCCTTAGTCTGGGAGTTAAATGTGTATATACATATACACACATATGCATATATGTGATATATTCGGGGAATGTATAAACATATGTATAATATATATTAGAAGTTAATATTATATAGACATATTAAATATATGTATTAAATGTATTGGATAATGCACATATGTGTATAGATGTATGTATTAGGGTGTAATAGGGTAGTACATATACATATGTATAATATATATTGTATGTATATGTACATATTAAATGTATATGTATACACACACACACACACACAAATGCACATTTGGTGCTTTGGGGTGGAGGGATAAGATGGGAATTGATACCCTAACCCCTACTCTCATTCAGTATAAAAACAGGCCCAATATTAGTGTGGATCCAAAGCATTTACAAATAAAAATCACATGACATCCCCATAAATTAAGAGCCATGCTTTTAAGCAAATATTGCCAGGACTAGTAGCCTTGTGTCTTGAAGGCCAGATGACCACTTGTCAGGTATGTTGGGCTAGATGGCCTCTGATATCCCTGTCCACTCTGAGATTCCATGATCCTGTGAAATTCAGAGGAGTGAGAGCACTTCATCATAGTCATTTGGGGAGGTCATCTGTTTATTGCCACGTTGCTGCCTTTGCTCAAAGTATTTCTGTCTCTCTTCTTTTGGAATTGCCTTCACAGCCATTTGATGTAGCTCATGAGAAAAATCAGTCACATTACTTTATAGCCATAACTCAAAAGGCCCCAAAGCCAAGAAAAGTAACATGTGTGTTTCATTTTCAAAAAGTCCAGTTTTAAGATTGATGCAGGATTTATAAAAACTGCTTTTTAAAAATGAGTTTGACCTTTCTGAGTACGCTATAAGAACTGGACATTGGCCAGTTGTGGGGAAAAATAAACGTCTACAGAGAAAATATTGTTTTAAGTCATCCATCAAAGGAAACAGATAAGTTTTATTGGTAAAGAACAGGGCAATTTAGAAAACGTATGAAGTAGAAGAAATTTGAGGGAGAGTCAGGAAGAGGTTTCAGTTGGTGGTGGACAGAGACAGAGATGTAGATCAGGAGATTAATACCACCATTGCACCTACAAAGCAAGAGGGATGAAGTTACCTCCTTGAATACCTAAAGTTCTGCCCTGATTCTTACTAACAGAATGACTCTGTAATTCCAAGAAAGAAGAAGAAGTTCCTGGCCTCCCTATTGTCTCTGCAGACTGACTCATCTACATGAAAGTTTATGACGGAAATTGTTGTTCTCTTATCAGATCTGACCTCAGGGTTCAAGCAGTCTAGTTATCTTGGCTACCTTTGGAATAGAGCTTGGCTATACCTTAATGGTGAGTCCCTGCCCATAGAAACCTCAGTGTATGTTTCTCACTTCCTTATAGGGCACTGGGCTTATACACACTTCATCTCTTGACGATAAGTCTTGTACTTCCTGTTCACTGTCGGTCATAGATTCAGAACTAAATAGGGCCTTAGCAGTCACTCAGGCAACCTCTTCATTTTACAGATGAGTAAACTGAGGTAACAGCTGGCATTTGAAACCAAGTCTTCTGACTCCAAATCTAGCACTCTTTCTACGATGCCGTGTTGCTTCCTATTGATTGATTAAGTTCTTTTGGCCTTCTGTGAACTCTTTTTACCTATCAACAACAAAACGTTCTGTTCAGTGATATTGAAGAGAAAGGCAAGGTTTGATATTATCAGGGTTCTGTATGACATCTTCCATGGGCATTCATGTAACTTAAAGCAAAGTGCCAAGTCTCACCATACTCTCCTCCCTGTGTATGTGTGACAATATACTCCTACCCAAAGTGTAGAAGAGAATAATGATTTCTGGAATAGGAATCACAATGTCATTCAAATCAAAGGGTTTGAATCCTGAAGCTCTGCTATCTGCTGCCTATGGATCTTGGAACAGTCATCTCTTCCCTCTTGATGCTTGACTTTCCTCATCTGTAAAATGGATTAGATAAGTACAAAGGTCTTTTCTGGTTCTAAATCCTTCGTTGTTGTTCGTTTGCCCTTTGTTTGTGCAGAGAACATGACATCGGGAAGATGATGCCGTGATTTGCAAGTGAGTTGGATTTAAGTGAGGAAGGGCTGTGCAAGGTCATTAGCCTCACTTTCTCCTCTAGAGCCATCTGGGACCAGTGGCAAGATACAGATTGAGACAACTGGAGCACAAAACCTTTGGTAGGAGAAGGGGAAAGAAGAGTGCACGTGTGAGGAAGTGTGACTTTGTGTTGTAGTGCAAAAGCATTCTTCCTCTAATTCCCTGGTCCTTTTGGCTCTGATCCCCTAGCCTTTTTATAAACTGCAAAAAGATGGTCAGGTGAGTAGGTCTTACTGGGCAAAAGATCAACAAATCCATCAACACCCATTTCTCCAAAAGAGTCCTTGTTATTTCATCGTGGAAGCTTTACTCAGGGCAGTGAACAAAATGGTGAAGGACAGTAGGGAGACTTCCCCTTAAAGGCACCCTCAACTCTAGTCAAGCTCATCTGAGTTGACTTGTTAATTGCCTTAAGAGCCACCAAACCAGCTGGGCTGTCAGCTGTTTTTCTGGGTTAGGGTTTATATCTCTTTCCCTTGCAAGAAGAGGGTGAATTAGTTTCCTGATTTCTAGTAGGAGGAACATGTGTGTGGAAAGAATGGGACGAACAGGAGAATAAAGGGAATGTTTGGAGGAGACTACGTGGAACTGTACATAGAGCAATGGACCTGGAGTCAGGAAGACCTGAGTTCAAATCCAGCCTCAGATGCTTACTAGCTATGTGACCCTGGATAAGTCATTTAAAACTTTCTTTTCTTTTCTTTTTTTGCCTCACTCTCCTCATTTGTAAAATGGGAGTAATAATATCACCTGCCTCCTAGGGTTGTTGTGAGAATGACGTGAGATAATATTAGTTTCTGGTTTGTGGGTCTTATAAAAATTTTGTTGTTGTTTAGTTGTGTCTAAATCTTTGTGACCCTATTTGGGGTTTTCTTGGCAAAGATACTGGGGTAGTTTGCCTTTCCTTCTCCAGCTCATTTTACAGATGAGGAAACTGAGGGAAACAGGGTTAAGTGACTTGCCCAGGATCACACAGCTAATTAATGTCTGAGGCCAGATTTCAACCCAGGAAGAAGAGTTTTCCAGACTCTAGGCCTGGCATTTTATCCTGCCCCACCTACCTAGCTGTCCTTCCTAGTACAAAGTAGATTCTATTTAAATGTTAGCTATTATTTCGATAAATAAATAAATAATTTGATAAAAGAGACTCTAATGTGGATTCATAAGATCTAGGTTCAGGTCCTTCCTGCTATTTATTTGCTGTGTAACATTGGGCAAGTCATTTAATCTTTCTGAGACTCAGTTTCCTCATTTATATAAAATGGGATGATCATGATACTTATATTACCTCTCTTTCCCAGGTTTTATTGTGAAGATCAAATGTGAGGTGTATAACATGCTGTATAAGTGTGAACTGTTACTAAAGGCAGGAACAAGGGATTCTGGGCACAGAGTCCTGTTTTTCTGTACCCCTCCCCCCAACTCTATTCAGCTTTCAGGCTCTGGTCTACTTTCTCTTCTGCTCTCTGGATGTTTCAGGGGAAGAGAACTGCAAATACTCATTATTGTTGGAGAGAAGTTAAGCTTGGTTGATGCCAATGGAAAGGTTGTCCTGTGCCAGGCTACTGAAGAGGCTATAAACAGGGGGGCTTACTATATTAAGCACTTAATATTGGATATATATGAAGTTCCCCCCCCCATACTATGTGCAAAGAATTCTGGGTTTTCTGATTCATTTAAAATTATGCTAGTGATGTCCCTTTTCAGTTATATCCTGGTGGAAATTAGGGCTGGGAGAACAGTGAGAGTAGATACTAGACTACTTCTATGAGAGAGGCAGGAAAATAAATCCCTTCATGCTAGATTACAAGGCAGGGTTTCCAGGGACAAGAGAATGGAATGGAAAGAGCACGGGGTTTTTAGTCTGGGGACCTGGGTTTGAAATCTGGTTCTTCTAGTTTACAAGTAATTTCTCCTTTCTGGGCCTTAGTTTTCTTGTCAATAAAATGATGGGGTTGAACCACTAGGGAATGTTAAAGTGGAGATTCCTTTCGGTTGTGGGTTGGATTGAATGGCCACTGACCAACCCCAAAATTCTGTGATTCTATGCTTTCTAAAGTCCCTTTAACCTTTTGATCATAGATTTAGAGGTAGAATGGACTTTGGAGGACAAGGAGTTCCACGCCTTCATTTTACATTTGCCTGAGAGAGATTAAATAATTTTTGAGGTAGAATTCGAATTTGGGACTTCCTGACTCCAGGTCCAACACCCCATCCACTGAACCATCTATAGCATTGCTGAGCTTTCTCCCTCAAGGAAATTTAACAAAATTAAAGTTAAATCAGAGCATCCTGATAATAAGGGATCCAATGATGGCTTTTTAAAAAGAATGTTTCCATAAATATAGCATATTCTTCAAGGGGACAAAAAGCTTGACCAGATATCAAGAATAAAAAACACACAATAAATTTCCTTACATCAAACCAACATGGAAAAGTGTCTGTCCTACTCCGGGTTGGACTAGCTGTCACAGGTCTATTTTTGGATGGTTCTTGTTGTCCAGTGCTTCTAGTCTCAAAGGTTGTTGCCTCCAGGATCCTTTCCCTTATTCTTTCACGTTTGGTAAAGGCTTTGGAGGCATCCCACTCACTACGGTTCTCAGTACCTGTCTGCATCTAGGCAAGGAGCATATCTTTCCCTAGTTGAAAGCAGTCTGGAGGGTAGGGGGCTATCCAGAGCCCTGACTCCACTATAGACTGAGTGAATGTAGCAAAAGTGAGGAAAGCAACTGGTTTTTTTCTCCCCAAAAGTCTGCTCAGAAAACCATCATGTTTCATAACCTTTGATGTCCATTTAAGCCACTTAGATCACAGACATCTATGCCAGAATTACCTTCCTAGCAAGATTATTGTTTTTAATAGCCTGTATCATTCTTGTGTTAATGCTAGCTCTTCCTATTACAAACAGATCATTTCCATCTTACTTGCATCCTTCTTCCAATGTTTGGAGTCACACACGGAGCATCCTAGATTAATTTCCAGGCCAAAGGGCTTATTTTTTTTTTTTCCCAGTGGGCCCTGCTAAGCTTTTCAGCTGCTCAGTTTGCAGGGGCCTGGGAAGCACACCAGGTGTCTCATCACACAGCCTACTGGCTCTTACAAGTGCCTGTCTTTATAGAGGGCCAATGAAAATGTTACTTCCTATCCCGGAGGCTTGGAAACACGAAAGGCCTTTGGCCAGTGTCTTGAAGCCCGTCCCACTTGCCAGGGCTGGGGCTGTTGTCTCGGAGAGCCAGCTGGTCTGGTGGAGTGACAGCGCAGCCTGCCAATGGGCAGACCCAAATAAGCTACCCTCCCACCTCTGGCTACTTCTATATGAGCTTGTTTGAGCCTGGCGAAGCTATGAGGAGTTGAAGCTGTTGCTGGCTACTCAGAGGAGAGGGAGAGCTTAGTGGTCTTTGGTCAGGCAAGTGCTTTCTGCTGGGGTGAGGTCGGTGGGAAGGAGCTCTTAATTACTGTATGCCACGGTTATTCGTGCTTGCACAGGAAATTAGGTGCTTTGGGAGGGAATGAGAAAGGAAGATCGTTTTTTAAAAATTGCCCTAATGCAGCTTGCATTTGTATGAGCTCACCCCGTGCAGCCGCAATTGCTAACCCCTTGGAAATTCCCTCCCTTCTCTTCCCTGCCCGCCAAAGCTGTCTTTCCTCTCTCTGAGGCTTTCTGGCAGCTGCTACTGATAGCCCTAGATAGAGACCCCACGTGACTGGTAGTGGTGCCCTGGAAGCCAGAGTAAGTAGGAGTTAACAGGAGCAGTGTGCTTAGGGAGGTAGCTGAGGCTGGGGGCGATGAAGGCCCCTTGATGTGAACCTTTCATTGGAATGCTAATTGGACCTGGCTTGAAGTCTAATTTAAAAGACTAGACTCAAAAGTCCATAGGAAAAAAGAGATATACAGGGAGATGGTGGCTATTTTAGTAGCTATAAGTAGAATATTTAAATGGTACTATTACACAGCCTATGGGATTCATTAATTTTTTAAGATAGCCATAGCCATGGTTTTTTTTTTATTTTTGAAAGACCTAAAAATAGGATACCATAATCAATATTATCAGTTCTACTTCTGTGTTGACAGTGGGAAGAGCACTGGCTCTAGAATCAGGATCTGGGTTTATATCCCATCTCTGATACTATCTTTATGACCTTAAATAAGGCCCTTAACCTCCCTGGACCTCTGTTTCCTCATCTGTAAAATGAAGCTGCCCTAGCTAGCCCCTGAGATTCTCCCCCCCCCCCGCCCCAACTCTAGCTCTATAATTTTATGAATTGTTTAAAAGCAGTAATTGAAAAAAGCCTAAATGGTGTTATCAAGAAAAGGTCAGTCCACAGGCAAAGTACCCATTATGGGCCACACACTGAGGGTACAAAGATCTTCCTGCCCTTCAATTCTGTTGGTCATGGCAGCTTATTTTTTACACACACACACACACACACACACACACACACACACACACGTATTGATAGGTAAATACAGATTTAATAGATTGGTAAGGCAGGGTAGTTCTGTAGAAAGAGCTTGCTCAGATTTTTACAAAGCATTTGTCAAAGTGCCTTATCCTATTTTTGTAGTCCAGTGGAAAGATGTAGGACTCAGAATGATGTGGGCTAAGATGTGGGAAAGATGTAGGATTCAGAAGTGATTGAATGCTTAGACCTAGACCCAAAGAATAGTCATAAATGTTCCATATCAATTTGGGCTCTATCTAGTGGAGGACTCCAGGGATCTGGGTTCGGTTTTGTGCTGCTTAACGTGTGTATCGCTGACTTAGATAAAGGTACCAATAGCATACTTATCACATTTATAGGTGACAGTAACTGGGAGACAAAATCGGGACTCAAAAAGATCTTGATAGGTTAGAACTTTGGGTTCAATCTAACAAGGTAAAACTCAGGATAAATATAAAGTCATCCTTGGGGTTCAAAAAGCAAATTTCATAAGCACAAGATGGGTGAAGAATGGCTAGACCATTTGAAAAAGACTGCAGGCTCAATGCGAACCAACAGTTTGAAATAAACTTCTTTTTGTACCTCTGTTTTGAATGTTCTCAAGTGATGGCGTATATACTTGCTATGTGTATGTGTTGTGTCCCCTGATAAAATGTAAGTTCCTTGAGGGCAAATACTAATTTTTGTTTGTTCTTGAACCCCTGATAGCCTAGCAGCATTCTGCTCTGGGATGATCACTTCCAGAGTACTGTTTTGCTTCCTGGGCCACATTTTAGGAAGGTCATTAATAAGCTGGAGAGTGATCAGGAAAACGAAGGGTTTCATGATTTTGTTGTATAAGGGCTAATTAGAGGAACTAGGAATATTTAGGCTGAAGAGATGACTTGGTAGTAGTAGTAGTGAAGGGATAGGTGTGGATGGGCACATGGTCTTATGAAAGAGGGATTAAATTTGTTCTGCTTGTCCTAAGAGATAAAAGTAGGAACAATGGTAGAAGTTGTAAAGAGACAGATTTGATGGAAAGAAATAAATGAAGAAGAACTTACCAAGTGACTGCTGTGTTCTAAGGACTGTATTAAGTGCTTTACAAATATTATCTTATTTGAGCTTCACAATCCTGGAAGGTAGATGCTATTATCATCCCCATTTTTTCATTCATTCATTCATTCATTCATTCATTCATTCATTCATTCTTCATTGGCTAGGCAATGGGATTAAGTGAGTTGCCCAGGGTCACACAGTTAGTAAGTGTTATGTATCTGAGGCCTGATTTGAACTCAGGTCCTTCTGACTTAAGGGCCTGTGCTCTGTCCACTGCACCACCTAGCTGCCCCATCCCCATTTTATAGTTGAGGAAACTGAGGCACACAGAAGTTAAATGAATTGCCCAGGGTCACACAGCTAGTAATTATCCAAGATCAGGTTTGAACTCAGGTCTTCCTAATTCCAGACCCTGTGAGCCACCTAGATGCCTCCAAGGAAAAGTATCCAAAAGTGAAATGATCTGCCTTAGGAGGGAAGGAATTCCCCTTCACTAGCGATTGGTCTTCAAGCAAAGGCTGGAGAAGCCTTCTAAGGGATGCTGTAGAAAGGATCGTTGTTAAGGTATAGGTTGAACCTGTTGGCCTCTTGGGTTCCTTCCAGCTCTGAAATTCTGTTACTTTGTCTAGTGGGGCAGAACAATTACTAAACTCATGGATAAAATTTCTATTTGTAGCCCTGTTTTGAATGCTCCTCAAGTGTTAACATGTACATTTTGTATGTGCACAAATTGTTTGCCCTGATAGAACGTAAGCTTCTTAAGAGTCAAGATTGATTATTTATTTATTGGTCTGGAAAAGCTCATAGCCTACCTTAGTCCCTGGCACTGAGTAAGTACTTTGTGAATGCTTAATGACTGGTGATTGAGTGTGAAATTATTGACAGCCTAGGTTCTTCCTTGGCAATGCAATCGTTCAGTAATAGGCACTGAGATAGTAAGAAAAGCAGAGGAGTTTATTGTAAACAAAGAACATTTGATGAGTAAAGAGGCCTTAGTACTGGTTCAGCTGCGGTCACTAAGTTTTGTGTGCTTTAAGCCCACAAAGGGCTTAAATTCCCTTCTCTCTAAGGCAAGCCCCAGGAGTGGGGAACCTGGGGGCTCAAAGGCATATGTGGCCTTCTAGGTCCTTGGGTGGGGCCTATTTGACTGAGTTGGAGTTTTATAGAACAAATCCTTTCATTAAGGGGATTTTTTCTGTGAAGTTTGGATTCAATCAAAGGGCCAACCCAGTGATGTTTAAAGTTCCTATATAAGGATATATAACCCAAAAAATTAACTAAGATTGTGAAACCCTGATTTATAAATAATAATTCCCTGTAGTGGACCTTAGCCATTCATTATCTGCTGCTAGAGACACAAAACAGATATACATTGACTATTAGAACATCAAAATCTGTAACAAAAAATGTTTCCAAGCCTTGTGATGTTCAATTTTTCTGAGTAGTTATTGCTACGAAAGATCTCTAATGTGGCCAAAGAGTTGGGATGGACCTTGAGAGATCTGGGAGATCCTTACCCTGTTGTAAAGGGAGAAAGAGTAGAATAGGTTCAATTTCATTGAAATTTGATTGCCAACGTGGTAGAGTAATACTTATGGAAAACAAACTGATTAAATGATAACCAGAAGCCTAATGCATTTGTGTTAGGATAGACCTAAGATGCGCTCCTAGCAAGTTTTAAAATTCCACCCTCTCTAACTCTGTAAGCTCATCTCCTGTTTTCAACCATAACTTGTGTTGAGTCCAGTGGTATGCTACTAAATGTTTAACTACTGATTCTCCAGAGGAGAATATGTACCTAAGGACATACTTTTAAATTTAATCTGTATTAATATTTTCCCCATCGCTTTCTTAAGTCTACACTATACACAACAAACGAAGCCTCACTTTGTAGCATTGGCCAATTTCCAAGATGCAGATGCTGTCACTAAAAATTTAACAATCGGCTCTCCCTTCACACTTGCTTTAGCACACCCCTGGGGAAGTGTCCTACTTCACCTGTTTCCCCCACATACTTGCCTCATTTCTCTGCCACCCCTTCCACTCAGTATTGGAGGCTGAGCAGAGGGACTGTGACTGGTGTGGGGCTAAGAGCTAGTCACTCCTAATTGTTTGCCAGAACTGCTCTCCTTCCTTTAACCACCTCTATGTACCTATGTAGCTGAGGTCCTAAATGTGGAGGGCGTAGGAGCTACAATGTGCTAGTGGATTGGAACTGTGTGTTATTTAGAGGAAACCAGCTTGGCATTGGGGGTGTTGCCCAGGACAAGAAATAATCTTTGTTAAGCCCTGGCTTCTGCTGATCCAAGTATGCCAGTTTTTGACAATCTCTGTTTGTTTCCTGAGCCAGCATTCAATTCTCTCCGTTTGTTTAAAAAAGAGACTAAGGGGAGAAGAGAGTAAATTTGGGGGGAGGGTTTGAATGGGAAAGGTGCTGGAGTAATGTCATCTACTGAGTGTCCATTTTGACAAGTATAAGGGCACATGGGCAGGGAGTCAATATTCTCACTGATTAGATGCTGATTTTTTTTTTTTGTAATTCACTTATATTTAAGGAAGGGTTTGGGAATGAGCAAATGAAAAAGCATTTCTTAAGTGCTGGGGAAATAAAGAGGACACATAGGCCCTGCTTTCTAGGAACCTGTTATATGCAGATTGGAGGAGACTGTGTAGGAGGGGTCAGCAGCCTGGCAGAAAGTAGAGTGCAAGATCTGCCATCATACTGGAACCATTGTAACTGGTGTCCACTCTAGAATAGACCCATTACCACTCATTTGTAGTGTGACCTTGGTATAATGAAAAGAGTCCTAGCTCTGAAGCCAGAGGAGCTGGGTTGAAATTCCACTTCTCATGATCACTATACTTGTGACTTTAGGCATATCACCTAACCTCCCTAGGCCTCCATTTTCTCATCTACAAAAT